TCTCTCCCTCTAGAAACCCCAGGTCTGCAGCTGCTTCCTCAACCTTGTGCTCCTCTCCTTTCTCTTTCTCTCTCAAAGGAAACTTAGGTTTCAATCTTTCCACTTTCTTTTACTGAACCCGATTGTTCCCCACCCTCGATTTCCCCTCTTTACCCGTGGAATGCGAGAAAATCCTGACATGAGAATTGTCATAGATTTAAAGAAGGAGAGCATGCTTGACATTTCATAGGAAGAGAAGTGACTTTCAATTCCACAATAAAGGCATCATAAGGTCGTGTTCTTTGAGATAGATGATGGATTTTGCAGGATTAACCATCGCCCGAGCTTCTCCTATGCAAAGCCCCCTAAAAGGGCGAGAAGCGTTGGTTCTTTGATCCTCTCCATCGTCCCCTCCCTCTCTCTCTCTAAAAATAGAGGGGGTTTGAGAGGCGTCTGGAGAAAAGGGGCAGGGGCAAACACAGTGAAATTCACCGGCCCCGAGTTTTTTTTTTTTTGACAAATAAATGAAATTATACATCCAAACAGTTTACCAATATAATAAAATAAAACGAGAAAAAAATTGCATTTTTTTCACTGTAAATATTTTTTTCTTTGACATCCAAACTTGCCCTAAAATTTTGAATAAAAAATCCAGCTTTAAAGTGAATTTTAGAGGGAGGCCGCACGTGTACATATGAGTCGGTTAACTCATAGAAACCCCATTTGTAAGTTTATACAAGGGCCACTTTAAAACGTAGAATTAAGGTGCACTTGAAAAATGTTGTTTTGATATTGGGAAAATAACTAATTGATCATCTTGATGTATAAATATGAAGAAAAAGATTCCAAATCCTAAAAATAATTATCTTACGACTGCCTATTTCAAGATTTTGATGCACAAACATTGCTTGATTTGAACTATTTTTGGAGCTGAAAATTTATAATTAGAAATAAAAATACATTCACGCACCATCTTAAGACTTTTTGACACCAAAATTGCATCACATGACCAAGTTTAGGTTGTATATTAATTTGATTGTTTAAGATTGCAAACCACACCCAAATTTAAAGTGTGAGGTTTGTACAAGTAAGGTGCATTTTTAAGTTTGGGATTATGTACTATGAGACCATTTATCTTTACTACAAGGTCACAAGTATATGGTCTCTTTGGAAACTTGACAATGACTTAAAAATCCATGTTCAACCTTCAATATGAAATTTAAAATTTGAAATAAGGTACATATCGAATATCTATAAATGTATGAAAATCTTGAAAATAGACAGTCTAGATAACTTGCTATAAGATGCATATTTTTTTAGGCTTGAAATTCTATTTTCTTTATAGCCATACATCTCGAGATCGAGATGTTCAATTAGAAGGTTTTCTCTTTTCTACTCGACTTTGAGGTGGACTTTACTTCTATAGTATAAGGTTACAACCCATATAAATATTTTCCAAACATGGAAAGCTCGCTCTATTATTAGCAATGGATTTTCATGTGTAGCATAGTTGTGGTAAAACATGAAGGATTGCATATGAAGAAATTAATTGCTCATATCTTGTTCCTCCACCGTAATCTTGATTGGGTGATATTGGCTTTAATTCTAGGAAAAGTAGTTTGTGTGGGGACGCATTTCTACAATAGCGTCCCCTAACGCATGTACCATCCATTGGAGAGATAAATGATAGAAAATGGTAGCCGTACAAAACTTTAAAATCGATGGTGTTGTGTAAAAAAAAAAAAAAAATTTATTTAAATTTTTTATTTAGGTTCCTACTTATCATGGTTGAGATTTTCATTCTACAAAATTTTGAATCCCCACAAATTTAAAATTGACATTGTTATATATCAAGTTTTTTTATTTTTAATTTTAAAAAACATGGTTCAAATTTTTATTCTTGAAAATTTTGAATCCAAAATCCATGTGTAAAATAGATTTTGGAGAGAGGACTCATTTAAATTGGTGAGTAAGCCAACTCATAGAAACCTTGTCCCTAATTCTACGTTACATCTTGGAGTGAGGTTTCTATAAAGTACCCACCTTATACTATACAAATAAGGCCACCTCTAAATTTGGCTAGAGGATATAGTTCTGGTGTCAGAAATCTTACTATAACTTGAAAATTTATGTTCAATCTTAATTATGAAATTTACAATTAAAAAATGACGCAAATCAAGTAGGTCTATAAATACTTGAAAATAGACAGCCCAAATAACTTGTTACAAGATACACCATTTTTACGACATAAAATTGTTTTTTCTTTATATCCATAAATCTTGTAGTTGAGATGATCAATTTGAAGGTTTTTAACTTTAGAGCCCTCTTTTCTACTAAATTTTTGAGGCGCACTTTACTTCTATAATACAACCTTATATAAACTTCTTCGAGAATAGAAGTATAACTAGTAAAACAATGAATTATCTTACATGTGTACCGATTTAGGTGTGTTTTTTTATGGCCTGTCTCACTAATTTGAGCGAGAATGTGTGTTAACACTCCCGTGGGATCACAATTTATATTTACTCCCCCTTGCAAACACTTAACGTGAAATTTTAGGATTCACTTTAAAATTTAAGTTGGTATATTTTCAAGAGGGAGAAAAAAAATTTAAGTGTCATTTTACAAGGTGTCTAGGTCCTGAGAAAGTATACTAAACAATGCGGTCAATTAGTTTTAGAAAAAGCTAAAGCTGGAGAGCAAGAGGTTCAAAAAACTGGATAAATCTCACTCTTATTTAATTAGGACCCGGTTTCTATGCGGCCAAGCCTCCTATGTACAAATGCGGGCCTATTAATAAATCTATTTTTGAGATGGATTTTTGGACTTAATTTTTTTAGGACATGTAATATCTAACATGGCGATCATAAATATGAAAAAATAAGTAAATTTAAAAATTAAAAATAATAATTCGAGTTCGGAAACATTGGATCATTAGTTTTTATTGTTTTTAGATGGAACACCTTCTTGCATCCATCTTTAAGACAATTTTCTGGATGCGGTCTAGCCCGCATGAGACAGTTTTTTTTTAATTAAAGGATTGTCTACAAATAAAGTATTTATCATTTGTACATGGAGGTCACAATCATTATTGTCCTTCAAATTTCAAAATAGATAGTTGTAAGAGAGTCATTGAATAGGTACAAAATTCTTAAAAAAAAAATTCTTGTAGTTCGTGACACACCCAAAGCCATTCATTATTTATTTTTTAAAAAATTAAATAAAGAGTCCTCACATAAAGTACTAGATTGGATGTACAAAATTTGGTCATTTTATTTTATGAGAAATATTTTTTTTTTTTATATTTTTCGCTAGTGCGAGTTTAATAGATGATTGGATGTACAAAATTTGGTGTTAAAATAGTTTGTAAAAAAAATAAATAAAAAATAAAATAGTGTAGATATGTGACATTGTGATTGGGGCAATCTTAACCCTCTATTTAGAATGGACGGTTGAATCAGGGGAAGTATATAAGTTTTATGTTGTAGGGTAAGCATAGAGAGCTTGCCTGGAGAGGTTTCTATACTTCTCCTACAACATAGAAGATCAATGCTTCCCCTACCATCTAGGTGTCCAATTTTGATCAAGGGAGCCACAAATCGTTTGATCTTCTGATGTTTCAAAGTATTTTAGTTTTTTTTATACAAATTGTATGAATATGAGATTTGCTACGTGTCATCTTCTCATTGGTTCGCACCTATAAAAAATATTAAAAATAATTTTTTGATAAAATATAATGACTAAAATACTCCTTAAAAATTTTTAAGGGTATTTTGGTCATTTTATTGAAAATATTGTTTTTATATTTTTCGCTAGTGCGAGTTTATTAGAAGATTGGATGTACAAAATTTGATGTTAAAATAGTTTGTAAAAAAAAATTTAAAAATAAAGTAGTGTAAAGACGTGACATTGTGATTAAGGCAATCTTAACCCTCCATTCAGAATAGACGGTTGGATAAGGAGAAGAATAGAAGTTTTATGTTGTAGGGGAAGCATAGAAAGCTTGCGCTATTCTTTATACGCCCTTCTTCTTCATAGGGCGGTCTGATGTTTATATTTTAAGGGCCAAGAGCTTTTGAATATTTGACCACAAGATAATTGAAAAAATAAGTTCTTCAAAAGTAAAAAATTAGAGGCCCATCCGATGTTTGCATTTATCAAATTTCCCTACAAATAAGCGGTTCAATAAATCATCACACCACCCCACAAATATCAAGAATTAGAGAAAAAAAGAAGAGTAATGATCCTATGAGACCCTCTCACACCCATGTGTGTAGAATCCCAAAATATCACTATTAAATTTGATACAGTGTGTAGAATCTTAAAAGATCACCATTAAATTTGATACAAATCTCTACAGTACGTGTGTGACTTGACTTTTCTAAAGATATATGCCAAATTTAATGGTGATCCTTTGGGGTCCTATACACATGAATGTAGGACTTGACTTTTCTAAATATATGTGTCAAATTTAAAAGTGATCATTTAAGATCCTATATACATGGGTTGGGAGTATCTCAAAAGATTATCAACTTTTGGGGTCATATACACATGAGTGTAATGATATCGAGAGAGTGGATTGGAAATTATATTGAACAAAGGGTGGGGGGAGGGGAACTTGCAAAATATAAGACCCATAGAAAAAAAGTACTACTGTTGAGCTGGCGAAATTTAGAAAAACAAAATAAATAAAGATAGAAGTAAATGAATTGAGAACAAGAAGGACCCGCAAAAAAATTTCTTTATCACAAAATGCTTAGCATCTAAACTGTTGAGAGAGAAAAAATACATAACATTTAATTTGTTTTGTGAGGGTCCACATCCCTTAGGAGATGGCCCCTGCTCAAAAATTGGCGTATGCCGCTTTCAGTGGCGAGCACACGGTATTCTTTAGTAAAAGGCGAAAGAATAGTTCGCTTTGTGCACACCACACGGCTCCGTACCTTTAACGCCGATGACTCCTAAGTATATATAGCTCTTCCACCCCTTGACACTCTCCTTCTCATCGATGTGGGACTAAATCATATAAGCTCAAGGACCACACAGTGCACTTTAGCATCAAAACCATTGCTAGGTTTTGTTTTTAACACCAAGTTCTCGCATGAAACAATTGTTCTTATCTGAAATCATGCATATACAATCCTTTTTGTGCAAGCATCATAAGGAATACCAGCTGTTGTAGTTGGCGAACTCTACGAATGACTATGGAGGAGTTTTTGTGAAACAATAGGCATCCCAAATGCCATTTTTAGGATTTACAAATACCCAGTTTTGAGCAAAACCAGTCCAGTCGTAGGGGAACGTCCAGAATGGCTATAGACGAGCTTCTAAGAAACAGTGGCTTTCTAATGCACTTTGCTGCTGGTGCCGGTTCAGTTACATTTTCCACTGCCCTTACATACCCTTTAGACACCCTTAAAACCCTAATTCAGGTAAACCCTGTTCCTGTTTCCTACGATTATTTTTGTGTGCACATATTCTTTGTGCCTTTATGTGTGCACGGTGCCTTATTTTTCTTTGAATTTAATTTTTTTAAGTTAATTTACTTGTGGTTTAGGAGTTTTAAGGGGTCCATAATCTAATATGAACTTGCTATAAAATTGTGTATTCAATATGCACATCCCTGTTAGTTCTTTTATTTCTTTACTTTCTATGTTGATTTTACAACTTCATTTATACATTGCATACATATACAAAGGATTTGTTGCATTTGGTAATTTTGAGTTATTGTTTAGGTTGGTGGGATATAAATTTTTATATATGTGGGGAAGTTAGGAATGCACTTATCTACTGAAAGCTCGAATTTAGCATTTCAACCACTTGAAAATTCTTTTTTTTTTTTGTGACCAAGGTTACATAGGAATATCTTGAAACATAGCGCTATGAAAACCTACTTGCTGCCGTCTTAACCCAAACCCGATTCCTAAACCACTTGAAAATTAGTCAGTTTACTCAAACCACTTGAAAATTCAATTACAATGACAATAACATCAATGAACCTTTGAGGAAGAGCAGCACACACTATGTTTGAGTTAATTTCCAAATTGGTTGTGCATGTTTTATAGCTTGCTGATCGAAAATCTATTCATGGGTAATATATGTTTTGTACTCCTTTCCTTTTGCATGTTTTATTGTTTGCATTGAAAATCAATTTGTGATAAGCTCATTGTGTGATTCAGACGAATCTATTCCTTTTCTGTGTCTTATGTTGTTATTGGCATTTTTAAATGAAAGGTAATAACTATTTTGAGATGCGTTTTTTATGAGCAGTGTTTAGAGTTATTCATCGAAACCAATATTTTTAATATGCTATTTGCAAGCTTTTAGATCCAACGGTAATTTTAACTATATGAGAATGGTAATTTTGTTTCCAGTCTCTTTTAACAAGCATAACTATCTTGTAAACAACTGGAAAATGGGAGGTCATCTGATTGAATATGATGATGGGTTTTTGATCTAAGAGTAATTGGCCACTTAATTTACATGTTCTCTTTTTTGTTAATAAATAAGGAAGATACATTAAACAACCAAAACTTGGGAGGTTACTGCAATGCTTGTCATAAGAGAAACTCCAAACGCCATTGGCCCTAAGCTGACCTTTCATGATGATAATCACACCACCACGATCATCTATGAGACACATACTTGCCAGTTTGTGGCTTCTCAACATGAGTTGTACCAGTGGAAGTGTAGAAAATACCACTCATGGCTTCTTGTCCACGTTATCTACTTTGATGTTTGGTTCTATAATTGCGGTGTAATTTGTCAACTTGTAGTTTTTGTTGTGAAAATTGGGCAGTTAATGTGATGTTAAGTGGTCTCATTTGTATGTAAAGATAACTGTAGCCTTCTGTTAATTTTTTTTGAGTTTAACTTGAATTGTGTAAACTAGATGTCTTGGTTCATTGGACTCAAATCAGTGCGAATTGAACTGAATATACGATGAATTTCAAATAGTGTATTTACATGCCAGTTTCTATAACAGGCTGGCTTCGTGAGTGTTCAATTAAATAGACTAGTCGACAGATTGGTGCAGGTGCTAAGCAGCAATTGGATATTTATCAAGTTTTGGGTAGAGTTCGGTATGTCTCAGGAATAACAGGTAGCTTCTTAGGCACGTTTGCTCTTTGTTATTTTCTCAAAGTAAATATGTTCATGTTTGCCTTAGATCTACCAAGGAAGCATATGACATTTATCACCATAAATGCATCTAGACACCATTAAGGCATTTCTCTTCTACTTATGATCTTTAACCATTTTTATGAACATTTTTTCTTTATTCTGATAACTAGCGGTTAAATGTTTCATCAAGAAGTATTTCCTTCATGAATGGGTCTTGTAAGGGCCTTTACCCATTCCTTAAAAAACTAATGAGGCTTGGAATCTTGGATATGTGTCTCATCTTACAAGCAAGTGGTTACCTTCAAAGGCCTAACTTTACAAAGATGTACACACGTTTGTCTGAGTCAGATATGGAACACGGGTATTTTTCGTGCACTATGGGCATACTATCCACACACTTGCGCACACACGTTAACATAGAGACGAAACGACATAGACAAAATAGAGAGAAGGGAGAAGCCCTGAAACAAAAAGGAAAAATATTCACAAAAAGGAAAAAAATACCTTCATGTGATTTTTTTTCCTTTTTTTTTTTTTACTTGGTTCCGACAAAGAGAGAGACAGAAGAAGAAAGAAGAGAACAGAGGAGGGGGGAAAGGGGGGTTGTTCAGACTCCAAATTAAAGGATAGAGAAGGTGTTTCAGAAAAGCTCTTTGTTGCCCATTCCATCAGGGTTCTGGTGACTTAGGAGAATCTGTCAGATGACTATGTCTCATTTTTTTCTTTAGTAAATGAAAATATTAATTATTTTTAATAAAAACTTAATCTTTGTCAAAACATGAATGACGTGCGTGCTTGTAATTTGAAATGTTTTCTGCATTTTTTAATGCACGTAGGTTCTTGTAATAGCACAAAATTAAATCCATATGAAAGTTGCAGTTTTGTGTTATTTCTGTCATTTGATTGGTGGATTTTCTCCTAAAAATGCTTCAGGTCTGTATAGAGGATTTGGGTGGTTGGCATTAGGTAGAATTCCATCTGTTGGAGTTAGATTTGGAACCTATGAACTTTTGACTGCTTTTTATAAAGGTATGTTCTCTTTCTGTTTGATATACCTATATTCTCTCTGGAAGTTGAATTTTCTCAGATATGCCCTATCGAAGTTATAATTCTATCTATTCCATTATGTAAATTTATGTGCATAAAGTGATCTTATCTACTTCATATTGCCGCGATTAAATATGGCAGAAAGGAAAATGTGATATTTACTTTGTATTGCACTTATTCTCTCTCTGGAAAAAAAGAAAAATGGAAACAAGAAATGAGCAATTCCATCTCTACTCAAAAGTGTTATGTTTTATCTTTTCATTTAGAATTTATCTTAACTTAAACATGAGATGAATATGGGATACCAATTTTTAAAGAAAATTATTATCATGAAAAACTGTCACAATCTTATAAATTATGATAATTTACTATGGAGGAGTTGAGCACCTTTTATGTTGTACCTTTGATGCCTTTTTACTCTCAGCTTCAATTCTATTTTTTGATGTTAAAAAATGTAACTTGATGTGAAATATAGGTTTTCATGGTTGCAGCAATCTAGGATTCAAGATAGTCTCAGGAATCTCTAAATATGTCATGAATGAATGGGTATATTACCAAAAGAATAGTTCCTTATTATAAATTACGAATGTTAAGAGAAAACAAATATAATCATGTCAAGAAGAAATCTTGAACATCATAAGATCCCAATGGAGATGACAAGTTTTACATTTCACAACAGTCTTAGGTTCAAAGTAGTCTTGTCTTAATGAGCTCAACAACTCGGAACAAGAATAATCTCTTAGATATCAATGCATGGAATGTGTGCCCCATCATTGTGTTTTTTGAGAGTGGCATGAGAGGTAATAACAAACTTTGATGGTATATGAAGGGATAAATTTATCCTTGGGTCAAATGTAGATTAAGAAGGCGCTATGTAACTGAGAGAAATATGGAAACTGAAATAGAATATTTACGACATCGAATTCTTCCTTGTAGCTCTTTTACCTTTTACTCTTTAATGCATTTTATTACTTATCACAAACACTTGGGGAAGTGAAACGTTTGGATTGTGAAGCTTATTGATGTCGGTGGGGATCACCGATAATGTGAAATTGTTATCAAGACCAAAATTTGTCAAGGGATAGTCTTTGGATGTGGTGAAGTGGGTTTGTAAGGCGTCACTGTCCCATTTGAGGCTTGATGATTTTATGAAGACCTGGTGTGTATACAGATCTTTAGGGGGTTTTTTGGATCCTGGTAAAAACTTTGCCTTTTGTCAAAAACTCATGTTTTCAGAGTAAAGGCAGTTGGCATTTTTCTTTTCTTTCTCAAAACTCAGATTTAAAATTATCCCCTAGAGCTTGTTTTGGTTGAAAAATAAACCCAGCCAAGACTGGGTTTCTCAAAACATGGGTAATTTTTTACTCAGGTAATCTTAGAAAACCCCACCTCACCCATCAACTCTATCTCCAATATTTAGAGCAATGGTTGAGTTGTGAATTGTGAAATCTTTCTTTTAGCTTTTGTTACTTTCAAGTAGCTTATTTATCTCCCATTTCACAACTGAAAATCGTTACTTCCCCAATACCATTGCAGATGGCCGAGAAGACAACCATGTCTTTGTATCAGAGGCTCTATTGGCAGGATTTGCAGCCGGTGCCCTAGAATCAATAGTAAACACGCCATTCGAGCTTTTTAAGTTTCGCTCGCAGGTGGCATGTGCTTCTTGGCCGACGTCCAGGTTTGTTGAGGCAAAGATGAGTACACCATCATTAGTTACAAAATTGCTTCATGGTTACATTGCTCAGAAGGGGACATGGGATCAAATAACTGGTCTTTTATCCACCCTTCCCACCAAGCATACGAATGTGACCACTGCTCTCCAAGAGTATCCATGGGTAATGACTGGTTCAGGAAAACCTCCCTCAGTGAGAGATATTAAAGGTCCACTGGGCGTCGTCTCCTTAGAAGGATGGAATGCACTATGGAGGGGTCTTCGTCCAGGGATATTTCGGGATTCCATTTTTGGTGGTTTTTTCTTTTCAACCTGGCAATTCTTTCACATTATCATGCTTGATTGGAAGGCCGTCAATATGGACCCTTCCCCAAGGTCTTTGCCACAACTTCTCTGTTTAAAAAAATTATATTGAAGAAAGTATCAAGTGAATCCGTTGTTGAATCTAGCACATATAGACTGTTTCTGTGTGGGAAATACTTTTGGCTCTTCATTTTGCACTAAGAATTTCACACATGATTAATAGAATTCTTTGGTGTATGGTTTGGTCTAATTCTACTTCTACCCATATTTCCACAGATCCGATGATGAAGTTGGCCCTATCTCTCCATTGGCAGCTAGTCTAGTGGCTGGTTTTTCTGGTTCAATCGCTGCTGCCGCCTCCCATGTTTTTGACACTGCTAGATGTCGATCACAATCTATAGTCATACCCAAGGTAAATCATATCATATTTTGATGTTTATTTCGTTGGCATTCTTTCATATCATTTTTCAATGACTTTGCACTAGTAACCGACCACAGGTTTTTCATGCTAGGCATGATAGCAAGGTCTTCTAAACATGGTTATGCGGTGTGAAATAAGCATGTTTTATTCCAATTTTGACATCTATTTCCATTTTAAAAAGACATCTGCTTCCATTTACTTCAGCCAACCAAAAGAAAAGAAAAACATGTTGCATCATTTTGTGACTTAGCTTTAGTTAAAACCATTATGAGCTCTATGTATGAGTATTTCTTAATTTATTTTCTCAAGTGTGACTTAGCTTCAGTCTGATGGTTGATTTTTCTTGGACAGTATATAGCCATGGAGAGGAAGCTTCTTAAGTGGAAACCATTGGGTTCTTGGTTCGAGAGGAAAGCGGGGATCCGGCCCTCAGATAGGGCGTTCTTGTTGCGTGGACTTTGGTTGCGAGTGGCTCGGAGTGGAGTCTCCTGCTTTGCAATGGTAGGAGGATACTACCTCATAATCCAACATCTCTTGTAGTTTCCTCATTTATTGTAATTTGATCTGTTTCAAAACTCTCTCTGTTGCTCTTTTAACGGCTAGTCTTTCTGAACATGTTTTAAACTCTTTCTGGGTTGTGTAAAAAAGGGTAAGAGAGAGAAGAGAATATGGTCATGATGAGAATGTGCGTATTATTTTTGTTGGAAAAAGATTACTATTTGACCAGATTTGGAATTGTTTGCCAAGTCTTGAGTATGGTTTATTTACTCATTCTGATTTCTCTTAATGAATTATGGCTGAAATTCTATTTGAGATTCAGTTTTTTGCCACTACTTAAAGGTCTTCCGGATACCGAAACATTATACAATAGCTGGATTCCATTTCGAGGCTGGGTGCTTTTTTTTATTTGTTTTTTGGTTTTTCAATTTTACTAGTCAATGGACTGATGATATTCAGATTACTTGAGAAATTGTGCTTCCTTACCCGTCAATATAGTAAGATAACATTTCCTTTCCGAATGAATTTACCTCTCACTAGTAAGATAACATTTCCTTTCCGAATGACTTTACCTCTCACTAGTTAATGATCTCTTAGGTGGATATGTGTGACATGCGTTCGAAAAATCGAACCGATCTCGGATCAGACCAAGTGCATGTACCGAGTATCGATAAACCAGCCAGCTCAACCGGCCTAACTGTGCAAATCCTGTACGGCCCAAAAAGTGTACCAAAAAAAAAGAAAAATATCTAAAAAAAAATATAAATAGTACATTTAAAGTATGATTAAACAAAGCATATCTAAGTGAAATTGAAAATTAGTGAAAAATAGATTTTAAAAAATCGAATTTTATCTTAGGGTATTTTTGAATTTTTTTCAAAAAAAAGATGGAAAAATGTAAAAATAAATATTAGTGGCCAAAACACTTTTTCCTAATGAAAAACATTCAAAAATACATTACAAATAAATACTTTATTTTTGGAATATATATATATATATATATATATATATATATATATATATAGAACGTAACTACGACACGTACTAGTAGAACGTAAACGTAAACTAAAGTAGTACGTTACGTTTACGTTAC